CATTGAGGGAGTACTTGAGTTGAGGCCCAATGTCCATCTGCTACCTTAATACTAAACCTATACATATATGCACATAGATCTATTTCCACATCCTCATGTATAAATATATTTACATATGTACATGCCTTTATTTAGACCTCTATATATGCCCTTTGCCTCCTAGCTCTTTCCTTTATTTCCTTTTACTTTCCTCTTGTCCCACTATCACGCTCAGCCTTCATTTGGGTTTCAGTAATTCCTCTCGGTTACATTACCCTTGATCACGCCCTGCCAGCCCTCCTACACCCTCCTCACCACTGATTTGGATCACTTGTTGTTCCCTTTTTAATTCCTTATGGAGTAACGGTCTCAGAAACTCACAGAGACATTTCTCTCCTGTCCTATACGATCACTCTGAGTCGATATCAACTTAGTGGCTGTGAGTTTGTTTTGTTGTTGTGTGGGTCCCGGTGGGAAGGTAGGTGTTTAGAAGAAATGTTTACTATGTGAGCTCCTAGTCTAGATACTTAGTAGCGCTGGAAAGGAGCCCTGGTGGCCCTGTCAGTACTAGATACTTAGTAGCGCTGGAAAGGAGCCCTGGTGGCCCTGTCAGTACGTGTTGAACAGCTAACCTCAGGAATAGTGGTTCAAGCCCACGTGGAGCAGAAAGCCTTAGCTTCTCAATCCTTCTATGTGGGATAAATGAGGCAGTCTGCTCCCGTAAAGATGTACCATCTCAGAAACCCTGCACAGGGACACTATGAGTCAGAATCTACTTAAGGGCTGTGGGCTTGGGTTTGGACTAAGCAGTGGGCTGTTGACTGCAAGGTTGGCAGTTGGGAACCACTCGATGGTTCCTCAGGGGAAGGATGAGGCTTTCTGCTTCCAGAACAATTTAGAAACCCGTGGGCTGATTCCTCTCTGTCCTATAGGGTCGCTGTGCATCCCCATTGGCTCAATGGCAGTGAGTTTAGAGTGTGGGATGTTGGCCAGGCTCACTTCAGGTCTCTCTGAGTCTGAGAGACCTTGAGCTAAAGCACTGTGAGAGGTAGAGAAGATTTGCAAAGGTGAGTTCTGTGATGGACACACTGAAGAGCTGATGGAATATCTGGGATGCAAGAGGAAGAAGCAGGAGCCAGGGTCAAGGCCCCTCGGGGTGCTAACTCTGACCTTCTCTCCACCTCTGGCCCACAGTACCACCCACAATCAGCGTGCCCAAGGGCCGGGCCGTGGTGACCGTGCGCGAGGGCTCGCCTGCAGAGCTGCAGTGTGAGGTGCGGGGCAAGCCGCGGCCGCCCGTGCTCTGGTCGCGCGTGGACAAGGAAGCTGCCTTGCTGCCCTCGGGGCTGCCCCTGGAGGAGACTCCAGACGGAAAGCTGCGGCTGGAGCGCGTGAGCCGGGACATGACCGGGACTTACCGCTGCCAGACGGCTCGCTACAATGGCTTCAACGTGCGCCCCCGCGAGGCGCAGGTGCAGCTCCACGTGCAGTGTGAGTTTCACTGCCGCCCAGATTCCCTCCCGCTTCCCAGCCTGGTCTGATCCCTCATCACCCCTCCCTCAAGCCCAAGCCAGCCACCCTTAATCCTTCTCTGACACCCCTATGCTCTAGGACACGAAGGTCTGTGTCCTGGCTCCCACTGTCACCATCAAGTGTCACCCCATTTTCATTCCCAGGGACCTGAGAAATGGCATCATTTTGACAGGTGGGGTTTCGGAGGAGTGCATATTGTATATCACATGACATAGTGATGGGCGTGAGCGCACCAAGCCAAGTGCGTTTTACTGCATAATATTACTTCCTCTACGGAGCCCTGGTGGTGCAGGCGGTTAAGCATAGGTCGGCTAACCACAAGGCCGGCGGTTCAAACCACCAGCCAGCCTCTCCGAGAAAAAGCTGGAGCTATCTGCTCCAGAACAGATCGGCAGTCTTAGAAACGCTGTAGAGCAGTTGCACTCACTGCCTGAATCCATTCCACGACAGTGGATGGGACGGGGGCTCGCTACTTTATTTAGCCCCATGGATTGATTCTATTAGGCTCATATTTCTACAAAGGGGAAAGGTAACTTGCTCAAAGTCTCTAGTCCAGGATGGAAACGTAAGCCATTTAGCGCCAGCAGCTCTGCCCTGAACTCCAACTTCATGCTGCTTTTTATCACACGGGGGCGGAGGGGTCCATTTATGGCAATGATTCTCAACCTTCCTAATGCCACGACTCTTTCAGACAGTTCCTCATGTGGTGGTGACCCCTCAACCATAAAATTATTTTCGTTGCTACTTCATTACTGTCATTTTGCCACTGTTATGAATGGAGTGACCTCTGTAAAAGGGTCGTTCTACCCTCAAGGGTGTCGAGACCCAGAGGTTGAGAACCGCTGGTCTATGGCTAGCAGAAGCCCTGGTGGTGTAGTGGTCACGCATTGGGCCGCTAACCTCAGCAGCTCGAAACTACCACCGGCTCCGCAGAAGAAAGAGGAGACTTTCTCCTCCCATAAAGAGTTACAGTCTGGGGACGCCCCTGGGCAGTTCTGCTCTGTCCTTTGGGTCGCTTTGGACCCGATGTCAGTGAGGATCAGTCTGGGGAACAAGAACTAACGGGAAGTGCCGGACGGGTCGGGAGGGGCGAGAGCGGCTGGTGAATGCGTGCGCCCCGAGTGTGGATTCTCTCTGGGACCACACTTTAAAGGTGTAGGAGCTCGGAAGTAGGGGGAGTGTGTTGCCCGCCCACCCGTCCACCTGGCTGACCGCCGCTCCCGCCCCCAGTCCCGCCGGAGGTGGAGCCCGGTTCCCAGGACGTGCGCCAGGCGCTGGGCCGGCCAGTGCTCCTGCGCTGCTCGCTGCTGCGCGGCAGCCCCCAGCGCATCGCCTCGGCCGTGTGGCGCTTCAAAGGCCAGCTGCTGCCGCCGCCGCCCGTTGTCCCCGCCGCCGACGCCCCCGACCAAGCTGAGCTGCGCCTGGACGCCGTCACTCGCGACAGCAGCGGCAGCTACGAGTGCAGCGTCTCTAACGACGTGGGCTCGGCCACCTGCCTCTTCCAGGTCTCGGGTGAGCGTCCTCTCGGCCACGCCCACCTCGGGTCAGGCTCCGCCCCGGTCCCTGCCCCTCCAGTCAGGAGCCCTAGAGACATGACTTTCCGGGGCACCCCCATGCCAAGTCTAGACCCCGCCCCGGCCTCGCCAAACCAATCCAGGACATCCTCTGAGAGCCCCGCCCTCCCTCATCCTCTCTGTAAAACCCGCCTATACTTGCCATTTAATAGCTCCCGCCTTCGCCTTGCCTTTAACTACTCTTGCACCCAATTTAGTCCCTTCCACACCAGATCCAGGCTCCTCCCCTCCCAACCTCGTCCAATCCTAGCTCGCTGCTTCCAGCTGTTCCCTAGCTCCTGGCCATCGGACTGCTCCCTTCAGTCCCGCCCACGCCAGATTTTGCCCCGCCCACTTATGCTCTGGGCCCTACCCATCTCAGCGGGCTGGTCTCCCTCCTATCAAGGGCCTCAGAGGTTCACCTGGGAAACCCCTAACCCGTCCACCCCCATCACTAAGTGAGGGCCTCCGCTGTAGCTTAAAGAAGCCGCCCATCAACAACCTGTCTTGACTTCGGGGTGGAGAGTGGTGCTGGGCCAGCCAACACACCTGACACCAGCCCCTGGGCTCCCAGAATGCCCACCTCCACCCCAAGCCATTCCCAGGTGGACTCTGGGATTTCAGACGGGCTGTGGGTGGGTCAGAAAGAGTAGGGGCGAGGGGGGCTGAGGCGATGGAGAAGAGCTTCAGATGTTGCTGATGCTCCTCCCCTCCCCGAGTTGAGGAGTGCCGCCTCCCCACCCCAACTGTGGACAGTGTCCCTGAGAGCCCAAGCGTGCTTGACCCCTCCCCACAACACTCCAGCTTGTTCAACAGCCCCTGAAGGTGCCTGGGTATCCCTTCAGCCCCTGTGAGGATCCCCAGCTCAACAGTAGGGGGATAGGATGGTGGGTCACTGGCCACCCCCAGCCCCTCCCTGCCCAGTCCTGCCAGCCAGAGGCCCCTGTGACATTTCCCACCTCCCCCCTTCCCCTCTTCTCCCACACTTTCCCTGTCTCCCCTCTTTTTCCTTCCCCATCACCTCTCTTCCTTCTCCCTCAAAACCCCCAACCCTCTGTCTTTCCCCCAAATATCACTTCTCTGTCTCCCCCCAATTTCTCCTTTCTTCCTCTATTACTTCCTTGTCCTTTTCTTCTTTCTTACCAATGTGGCCTCTTGGAACACCCAATATCTCTTCTCCACATCTCTCATGGCACCCCCCTCCAAACTCTTCCCCAATGCCCCCTCCTCCCAACCTCACCTCTCCTCACAATATCCCCGTTCTCTTTGTCTCTCTCGTACCCTGTTTCTACTCCCTCACCTTCTCTTCGGTCTCCCTCTCCCTTGCCTCCTGTCTCTGTGTCTCCCCCATCACCCCACCTTCCATGGCCCCATGCCCCGCTCCCCGCCCTCTTAGCCAAAGCCTACAGCCCGGAGTTTTACTTCGACACCCCCAACCCCACCCGCAGCCACAAGCTGTCCAAGAACTACTCCTACGTGCTGCAGTGGACCCAGAGGGAGCCTGATGCTGTGGACCCTTTGCTCAACTACAGACTCAGCGTCCGACAGGTGGGCCAAGCAGGATCAGGGGTCCGGGTGCAGGCAGGGAATAGGCAGCTGACCCTGGAAGTGCTCATCAAAGCTAGGGGTGGGATCCTGTGGTGATACATGGAAGCTCTAATAGAATGAACTCCTCATGGGGAAGAGAGAACATGTTGTAGACATAGCAGCAGCAGCTGAGAGGCTCTGGGAGCCTGGCCCCCCTGAATGCATGGTCTGGACAAGAATTGGCAGAGGCCTCCTGGGACTCTTGGGGCTAGAGTCGTCCCTGCTACAGAACATAGGTCTATTCTGGTGTCAGGAGCTGGAGGTAGGAGGGAAGTGCTAGTCCTTCATACCTGGGGTCTCGACAGTCCAAGGTCAGTTGCTGTGCTAGTCTCTACCCAGTCTAGCTCCAAGTGGGTCTGCCAAGGCTAGAAACCAGTTGGTATGAAGCAGAAAAGTGTGCTCCAGGGAGCAGCCTGCCCAGGCTAGAACCACAGCTCTGCGAGCTACTGCAAACTACAAACCTCTTTGGCTTTAGTTTCCTTATCTGTAAGATGGCGCGCACAATCACAGCCTCCCCCAGAGGACGAGTCTTTTGAGGATTTATTGAGTTAGGTGAGGGAAAGCATTTAGAACAGCACCCACACGCATCGTCAACAGCCAGATGATTGCTGTAACCGCTGTGATTAAGCTAGCCCTGATGCACAGATGAGGAAATTGAGGGCCTGATCTCCCTCACATTGCCCCTTCCCCGAGACACCCCAGGCCTGGCCTGGCCCTCTGGTGGAGAGTGTGGCCGGCGGGCATCCCTGAAAACTCCCTGTATCTACAGTTGAACCAGCACAACGCCGTGGTGAAGGCCATCCCTGTGCGGCGCGTGGAGAAGGGGCAGCTGCTGGAGTACATCCTGACCGACCTCCGCGTGCCTCACAGCTACGAGGTCCGCCTCACACCCTACACCACCTTCGGGGCCGGGGACATGGCCTCCCGCATCATCCACTACACAGAGCGTAGGTGGCTCCTCACACCCTGCACCCCTCGTTCCTGCGCTCAGGACTCCCCACTGCACAGCTCCCACCGCCTTCGTTGTAGGCTCAGCCTGTCTGGTCTTAGGCTTGCCTCTGGGGATCCTGTCCCCGGGTCCCCAAAGCTTGGGTCCCTCTGCATGTTGGCACCTCTGTCCTGACTTGATTTTTCTACTTGCTTTCTCAGCCATCAACTCTCCGAACCTATCAGGTGAGAGCCCCTGCCCTCACTCCTCCTTCCCTTTGCTGATACAAAGGCTCTCCTGTGGGGGTGGCAGGGACCCCCAGAGAGAGAGAGAGAGAGAGAGAGAGAAGATTCCTTTTTCTGATGTCTCTATGAATTTGGGGTGTGTGTGTGTGTCTTGTGAACAGCTAGAAGTGGGCAGGGCTGGGCTTGCAGATGTTGAATCCAGGGTATATTCTGGGACTTAAAGTAGGGTTGGCGGTATCTCTAATTCAGGGCCTCCTTCAGCACCACCGAGACTCCTGCCACAAATACCTGAACTTCCCCCAAAAGAGAAAAGAGAGAGGCCAGGCTGACCCACGTGCCCTGTGCACTGGTCCGAGGTCCTTAAGGATGGCCCATGGCCCCACCAGGGGAGCTGGGTACACCATTCAGTGGTCCATGAGCCTGTCCCCTGGAAAGACACACAGTTAGGTCTTTATTTCCCCTGATTTCTAGCCCTTTATGAGGAAGGCAGGAAACCGCCATGGTAGTGCAAGTGGGATCTGCAACATTGTCATCGTCACCCCCCTGACCAGCTGAGGTCACTGACCTTCATCGGTGGTTCAAAATCATGGTGGTTATTCAACCTGACACCAGAGCTCGTGATGCAGGGCCCAAAGAAGCCCGTTGATTCCTCGTTTGCAGAATCGTGTTTTCATTTTTGGGAAAACATTCAGATCGTTCCATACCATTGGCTTTCCTTTGTGACCCGGTGGATCCTGTTTCAGGCACCGCCAATCATTATTCTGTGATGGGCTCTTAAGGCCTCATGAGATACCAGAAGGGTCTGCGGCCCAGAAAAGGTTAGGAAGCCCTGTCCCAGGAAGGAATTTGTCCTGGGTCCCAGTTGCCTGGTTCCGTCAGCCCTGGCTTCCTGGGCCCATTGTTTGGCTGCTTGGGAGCACCTCTGGGTGACAGGGTGTAATGAGGCTGGACTGGATGGGCTGAGGAGGCCAATCCTCTTTGTCTCTACCCTGCCTCCCCACTGCAGACAACACCTGCCACTTTGAGGAGGAGAAGATCTGTGGCTACACCCAGGACCTGACCGACAACTTTGACTGGACACGGCAGAATGCCCTCACACAGAACCCCAAGCGCTCGCCCAACACTGGCCCCCCAATGGACATCAGTGGCAGCCCCGAGGGTGAGGACTCTAGTTTTCCACCAGGAATGGAGAACCATTTCAGGGGACCAGTTAGTCATCTCACTCACTGTCATTGAGTCGATTCTGAGTCAGAGCGACCCCTTAGGACAGAGAACTACCCCTCTGCGTTTCCCAGACTGTAACTCTTTGCAGGAGTAGAACGCCTCGCCTTTGTCCTACAGAGTGGCTAGTGGTTCTGAACTGCTGGCGTTGTGGTTAGTAGCCCACCATGTAACCCACTAGGCCACCAGGCGCCTTTCTGTGCCACCAGGGCTCTGTACAAAGGGCTTAGCCACAGGGAGCTTCCCAGAGGGCTAGAGAATGGTGGAATATAGCCCCTGAGCTCCGGGAGCCCCAGTTTGAAGGGAGACACAGGCCTGTCCTCAGGGAGCCCCAGTCTGAGGGGAGAGACCATTCTGACCTGATAGAGGGCCAGGAAATTGAGCTAGGAAGAGTTCACGAGCAGAGACCCAGGCTCTCATGCTGTGAGGAGGGGCGGGGAGGCAAAGCAGGATAGGAAGGCACCTGGGACTCAGACCATGAGGTTTAGGCAGGGAGGGGAGGGGGTGGGAAGCGAGTGGCTGAGGAGGAGGCTGTTGGTGTACTTCCCCTTCTCCCCCACCCCCAAGGCTACTACATGTTCATTGAGACCTCCAGGCCCCGGGAGCTGGGAGACCGAGCCCGGCTGGTGAGTCCCCTCTACAATGCCAGCGCCAAGTTCTACTGCGTCTCCTTCTTCTACCACATGTATGGGAAGCACATTGGTGAGTCCAGGCACCAGGGGGCTGGGGCGGGTCTGTGTGAGGCTGGGCTTCCCGGTGTGACCAAAGCGCGAGTCCTTGGAGGGGGTGTGGACACGGATTGGCACGGGGTGAGGTGGTCCACAGGGAGTGTGTCTAAAAGGTGTCAAGAGGGTCAAGGCTTTTTGAGTCTGCAGAGTAAAGTCCCCAGGACAGACTGAGGTGGATGTTATGAAGGGGCGAGAGAACCAGAGGCTGCAGGGACTGAGTACCTACCAGGTGCCAGGTGACCTCCTGGATGCTCTGCCCGTGTGATCTCATACACCTTCACCCTTACACCCCCCAGGTGAGGGAGGCGTTTCCATTCAACTCAGACGGGAAGAATGTGCCCAAGACCACACAGCAGCCCACGTCAGTCCAACTCCCCCAAATCCTACGTAAGGGGCTGCAAGGGTCTGCTTTGTGAGCAATGAGAGGGAGTCCTTCCTAAGTGGGGGTGACCCTGAGCTATGCCCCTTTGGCAGCGATGGTACCACTAGGCGAATCAGAGTAACCAGTGACCTCACGGGTACAGCCAGCCCTCCCAGGCCCCTGCTCTGCGTGGATATCAGGTGCTGCCATGAGCAGGTGGGCAAGCTCCTTGTCCCTGTTCTGCCCTGAGCTAAAGGGCCGCTTCAATGGCACATGAGGGCAAGGATCTTTGTCTTTCACTAATGCATCCCTGGTACCTAGAGCAAGTCTCACCTAGAACCCAGGGCCACCACATTGGCTTTAACCATCTAACGTCTACTCAAGTGATACAGAGCGCTTTCTTGGAGGTAGTGTTTATGGAAACAGGTGGCCAGACCTTGCTTCCGCAGCATGCTGGCTGAGTTCAAGCCACCAACCACAAGCCATTTGTGCCACTCACCCTGGAACCTGCCCAGCACATCTGCCCAGGCCAACCTGCTGCCACTGAGTCGATTTCAGTTCACAGGGACCCTATGGGACAGAGCAGAACAGTCCTTGTGAGTCCCCAAAGCTTATCTTCAGGGAAGCCGACTGCCACCTCCTTTCTGTGGAGCGGCTAGTAGGCTTGAACTGCCAACCTTTCTGTTAGCAGCTGAGGGCTTAACCCTTGTACCACTCTGGCTCCTTCCTAGAATATCCTCACTCACCCCCTGCCATCGACTCGATGCTGACTCCTGGTGAGCCTGGAGGGCAGGGTAGAACTGCCCTGTGAGTTTCCAAGACTGTGTTTACAGGAGTAGAAAGCCCGTCTTTCTCCCTCGGATCCATTGGTGACTTTGAACTGATATTCGGATCTCAGTCCAAAAATTAATTGAATGCACAAAACACAGGAAAGAAGAAAGTGGGGGTGAGAGTGTGGGAGAGGGAGGGAGAGTGCTAGGAGGGCTGTCCTTGGTGAGCCTTGAGGTAACCCCGAGAGTCTATGACGTCCTCTGTAGGAGTTATGTAAGCTCCTCATTTAGTCAGCATTTAATGATTGGAAACCAGTCAGAATTCGACCTTGACCTTCCCTGGGGAGTTACGTGGGGAAGAGAAAGTATGGACCCCATGAACTCCCACACCACAGCCGAGAGCCATTTGGACATAGGAGGGCTCCAGTTTAAGGAAGAAAGAAGAGAGAGGGGTTCATTTGGAACTAGCAGGTCCCCAGAAAGGCACTGGGCCTTCTTGGCTCACTGGGGCTTGGTTGTAGCCCTCTTGAGAAACCGTCTCCTGCCAGTGAGGGTGCCGCCCATGCCTTGAATGTTTGGGGTCACCCAGGCTGGGGTCTATGGCTGAAGAAGGGGCGTTTTTGCTAGCCAGATCCCTCCTCTGTCCTCTCCTCCCATCCCTCCTGGCAGCTCTGAGTGGCAACTGTCCTCAGACCTTGTGTCTCCCCGGCTCTCCTTGGTCCAAGCCAACTCCTCTCATCCCAGGCAGGTAGCATTTGCTGACTCTCCCTCTCTGGGGCGACTGTCGATCTGGCGTCGCAGATGGTGTGGCTTTGTCTGTGGACAGTGCCATGGAAATGCCAGCACCCAGCCGCTGAGATGGATGCCCCTTTGTCGAGAGCCAGGTCTTTGCAGTTACTGGGGCTCACGTGGGCCGGGCAGAACTGGAGCGAGGTTGGTGACAAGGCCTGGGGGCTCTTGGCCAAGCCATGATCCCCTTCTTCTCTTCCTATTCTCCCTGTCACCCCAGAATGCTGGGGACCCAGTGCTGTGAGCACATGGGCTCAGCACCACCCCCCGACCCGGCGAGTGCCTCCCAACATCTCACATTCATGAGTGTCCCCACAGAGCAGGGGCCCTGGGGGCAGGGTGGGGGGAAGCTCGGCTGCTAATAGAAAGGTCAGAGGTTCAAACACATCAGCTACTCTGTGGGAGCAGAAAGCAGCCACCCTCTTCTGCAAACATGCCAGCCTGGAATCCACGTGTGGCCGGTCTATGCTGTCCTTTAAGCCCCTTTAAATTAGATTTTTTTTTAATGTAGCACATATGCTAATATTGTTCTTTAATCAGCTCACTGTTTTTTGGTTTGTTTGTTTGTTTGTTTTTTTAACTTTGTCCGCAGCATCAGCAAAATTGTGGAAGGGTTAGCTTTAGTCACCTCTTAAAACACACCTATCAGAATTGTCACGGTCCTTCCTGTAGCTCTGGAAACCACATCACGCATCATGAGCCCCCAGCATGTTCTTCAAGAAGCCTGCTCTGCAGGCAGCCCACCCCCACTTTCCTGGGACAGCCCCCTGTCTACAGGGTGATGGATGTGTTGTGTGTGTGTGTGTGTGTGTGTGTGTGTGTGTGTGGTGTTCAGAGGTGGGGAAATTAACTGATCTGCAGGAAAAGGGGGGAAATGAACATTGTCAAGTGGTCCGGCTGAACTGAAAACCTGCTGCTGTCCTTTCTCTATGCATGTCAAGGTCCTATGGGGCGAATGAGACATTGGACATTGGTCTGGGGGTGGGAGGAGGTTGTTTCATGCCTGCACTGTGGACCCTGCCCCTTCCGGTAGGGACAACTGTGGGCAGCAGTGGGTGCAGAGGGCATGGTGAGGATCCGAGGTGCCCTAGCCCCAACCTCTCGGCCTCACTCCTGTTACCCACCGCAGGCTCCCTCAACCTCCTGGTTCGGTCTCGGAACAAAGGCGCCCTGGACACGCACGCCTGGTCTCTCAGCGGCAATAAAGGCAATGTGTGGCAGCAGGCCCATGTCCCCATCAACCCCAGTGGGCCCTTCCAGGTGAGTCGGCTGCACCCAGCACCTCCCAGCTCTGGCTGGGAAGCTCTGACCATTAGTGCTCATTCCTGGGAGCCGGCAGGACATAGGGAGGGGGGAGGGGTAGATTGACAGGGAGGGGCAGAATGAGGGGTATTTCTGGTGACTGACAGAACCTCTCCTTGCTCTCTGATCCTACCCCAGATTATTTTTGAGGGGGTCCGAGGCTCCGGCTACCTGGGGGATATCGCCATAGATGACGTCACAGTGAAGAAAGGAGAATGTCCCCGGAAGCAGATGGACCCCAATAAAGGTGGGGCGGGCCCTGTCTGTGTCGCGAGAGTGAATGGAAGTCTGTGACTGGCTGTGGGTCATTGTGACTAGTGGCATGGCCTGGTGGGTACCCACCTGGGGCCCCCTGGGGCTCAGACCATGGGGCATGTGCAGGACAGATTAGAGGACGCCAGCCCTATCCTCCTGTGTTTCAGCATCGGAGTGCCCCTGTCCTCATGTGTCTGAGTGTAACTGGGTGTGTGGGGGTCCAGGTGTGAACGTGTGCTCTCCCCTGCCAGAGATTTCTAATCGTAGCTGCTCAAGTGAGCGGAGTCATTATTACATCGTGCCAGGCAAGGTACAAAAACCTGGGGATGCAGGCTTGCGTTTAAACCTCACACCGGCCCTAGCGGGTGGATAGCTTTGCTATTAGACCTATTTTCCAGAGGAGAAAACTGAGCTCGCTGAAGTCAGCAGATTGCCTTCATGAGCAGCAGAGCAAGGATTTGAACCCTGACAGGCTGTGTGTATGAATGCATGTGTGTATGCGCGCGCATTCTCCCATGCATGGAGGGTGGATGTGCACAGCCTGCCCACCCCTCCCTGCCCCATGGGAGCTGACCGGAGTCCTGGCTGTTCCCTCTCTCTCCCATCACAGTGGTGGTCATGCCCGGCCGAGGCAGAGCCTCCTGCCAGCCCCACCCACAGCTCTGGGGGCCCGTGGCCGCCTTGCTCTTGGCGTTGCAGAGATGATGAGAGCTGCGTGGCTCCCACCCCTCCCCGCCCCCGGCACACCAAAGTGTCCGCATCGTACCAAAGACTGACCCCTGCCAGCCGGGGTGCCCAGGGGCAGGGCCGGCCTGCCAGGGAGGGGGCCTGCGTGGCAGTGAGGATGAGTGAAGAACAAGGACAGACGCCAGCACTGCTGGCCTGGACCCGGACGTTGGACACACTCACACACTCACACACCACAGAGCTCTATTAAAGCACAAGTTTCTATCCAACCTGCCAGCACCTTCTTTACTGTGGAGACAGGGATCCCCCTGTCCAAGAAGTGTCTGCCTACACTCCCAGGGACCTCGTTGTGACATCCTGGCTGCATTTCTGGTGTGTCTCTGACTGTCCCCCTGCCCCTAAGTCAAGGCAGGAACGCCAGCCCACTGGCTTTGCCCAAAGGGAGCCGGAAGTGGAGCAGAGGAGGAAGCCCCTCCCCGGGGCCAGACTCTGGACTCCCTGGGTGGGGGAGGCAGGGGCCATGAGGGCCCTCCCTGCAACACCGAACTCTGCTTTCAGAGAGAGGGCCGGATGCCGGTGCCTCCAGGCCCCCTCACTCCGCCCCAACCTGTTCCTGGGACATCGCGTGTCCTTTTCTCTCTGGGCCCCCTTTTGAAGGAGTCCAGCACAAGGTGTCAGGCCTGGGCCATCTGAAGAAGGACACCCACCTCAGCCCCACCCCTGCAAGCAGCTGGATTCCTGCGAGCACTCTCCCTACGGCGGTTGGCTGGCCTAACCTTAGCCCCACTTGAATCTCCCAGAACCCGGGAGATGGTTGGTGGCCGGGAGATTTCCAGGGCCCGGTGTGACTGGAGAGGGGCAGAGGAGGAGGCTGGCCTCTGTGATCCTGTGCCCCGCCCTGGACGCTGGATCTGGAAATGGAGACGAGCCTCCATTGCGCTGACTCACCAGGTGTTTGCCCCGGGCCTGGCCCTGCCCCCTCTCCACTGTAAAACCCTGTGTAGTTGCCCATCGCTCCTGGCCACCAGGACCCGTGAAGGAGGAGGAAGAAGGGTTTGTAGCACTGGGGTCAATGGGTGGGGTGTTGACGGTCCCCTTGTGCCCTGGGAGCTGAACCTCACACTAAGTCTCCTTGCCTGGGGGGTTTGAAATGGGGCGATGGGACCTAGACCCCTCTCTACTTCAACCCGGAGCCATCCACGGGAGAGAGAAGGCCCAACTATCTGTCCCCTCAGGCTGTCTGTATGTCTGTGTGCCTGTGCCTGTCTGCGTGTATGTGTGTACCTGGCCATCTGTCTCTGCAGTGTGTGTCCGCACTGGGCAGAAGCGTGCGTGAATATGGGTCTGTGTGCGTTGTGAGACACAGCAGCCAACGAAGCTGTGTCCACTCTAATCTCTGTGTGTGCCTGTGCATGTCAGCGTGCACGCCCATCTCCCTGAGTGACGTGTTTCTTGGGTGCTGGCCAAATAGACCCCTTCTCACCCCACCTTTCACTCCATTGTTGACCAAGTGCTTACAACCACTCTATTGTAAGGCAAGCACCCATGGAGAGGCGTGAGGGTCCCCGAGGAGTGGAGGGGGCACCAGTGTAGGACGAGGCCTGGAGCTTGGGGAGCAGTGCTGTGCCAGGAGGCAGGCTGGGGACCAAGGTGAGCGCTGCCCATCTCCCTGGCCTCATCGCCAACAGCTGGTGGGTGTTGGAGTCGGGCTGGAGCCAGGCCTCCAGGTGCCCCAACCAGTGTGGCTGCTTCTGGCCCAGCTGAGGCCTCTGCCCAGAATGAGTTTCCTCTGCCCGGTATTGTTCCTTAATTGCCCCATCTGTGCAGGGCCCGTGCCCCCAACTAGACGGTAAACTCCTCCTTTGAGCCTCCCCTCCTGCCCGGGATGCACTCAGCTGACCTTGCCTGGTAGAATGTCCCCATCCATCAGTGGTTCCAGCCCCGGCTGCAGATACCAGCCACCAGAGGGGCTTTAGAAAGCGTGGATGACTGTGCCCCCTCCCGCCGGTGGTCTTCAGTTGGTCTGGAGAGCCTCCGGCCTCTGAAAGTTCCTAGGTCTATAGGAGAACCTGAGGAGGCCCTGGCCTCTCACCTGCCCTGCACGCCTGGGCCCGGGGTGCAAAGAATAGGCACTTCCTCCTGGGGCTCCCACAGATCCCTGGGCCTGCTCCCCGCAGACCACCTCTGCTCCATCTGTCCCCCACCCCCGACTTAGTTGCACTGTGGTAGGGACAGTACCTCCCTTGCCCTCCCTCTATCCACAGAGTTGGGCTTGGTTTCGTAAGTGTGGTCGGTCCTTGGTTCCTGGTCTACCTGGGGGGCTGTGAGGGTCCTGTGGACAGATTAGGGGATGGGGCCCATGGAACATTCCCGGGTGAATGGGTGGGTGATGGGTGCTGTGCATCAGTGGGTTTGCAGGGGATGTAGGTGTTGGCATGTACGAGTGAGTGATTGGAATGCCCAGACTACCAGGCCACCTGGGGATTCGTCACTAGGTCTACAGGTAAGGAATCTCTGTGTGTCACCGAGCACTGGGTCTGTGGGTCCGAGTAGCAGTGTCCCTGGGCTGTGTGTCTTTGGGTCTGCATGCTGGCAGACCCCCATGCTCTCAGCCGCGGGGAGACCTGCTTGGCTGGATCCAGTGTACCTCCCCCCCCCCAGCCTTGCCCTCAGACCAGGAAGGTCGAGGTGTTCTGTGGCCTTAAATGGGGAGTCCAGGGTCCATCCTCAGGGTGTTGGGGTGCCCCTACCCCTCTCCCCTTAGACTGGTATCTAGGGGAGGAAGGGACCCCTGGCACAGCAGGCATTGCAGCCCTAGGGGTGTCCCACAGCTGGTCCCCAGGCAACCCCCAGTGTGGGGTGGGACGCGGGGGTGGGGGGAAGTCTTCCAGGCAGCAAGTAGGCCTTGTTCCAAGTGCCCTGTCTCAGGGTGGGGCTGTTTCCCTCCCTCCAACTCTGGCCTCTCCACCCAGACCACAGCCCCCCACCCCCCACTCAAGCAGGGCTGCCACCCTCTGCGCTCCACCCTCCTAAGCTCCAGCCAGACGGGCGTCTGCTTCCCTCCTCCCCACGGCCTTCACAAGGCCCTGGCCTGGGGAGGAAATCAGCTCTCCTCTTCCATTTGTCCTCCGGAGGCCCAGGAGGACCTGAGGGGGAAGCTGTGCTGTCCTCAGGGCCTGGGGAGATTTCCAGAGGCTGACCTCAGCCTGATGGGAGAGGGCTTGCTCTGGGGAGCCCCTGCAGGGGCCCTGAAGGGGGTCAGTCCAGGATGGGAGGGAGCTTTCTTTGTTTCCCTCCTCTGCGGAATGAGTGAGGTTGCTGTGCTGTGTGTGTGTGTGTGTGTGTGTGTGTGTGTGTGTGTGTGTGTGTGTGTGTGATGTC